AGGTGGTGCTTAATCAACAAAGGGATTCATTGCTCGTGAATGATATCAACTACAGTGTATTAATTTGAAATCGAATTATGTTTACATCATTACTCCTTATGCCTCTTTAAACACCATTAAAATGATCAATATATTCTTATCAACCACAATTATTATAGAAAAGTTTGAAAACAACCTTAAAGTTGGAGAATGTTATTGTAAGTTAAATTATCAATAAATTAAATCCAAACAATACACGTACTCACTAAAAATAAATCCACCACTAATAGACAATAAAGAGATATCGTTACTCCATCGTGTTGAGTCGAATTTCACTATCACCGACTTTTATCATAAATAGATAATTTAGCCGATGCATATATCAAGGAGTAATTTTCTCATCGAAGTGGTCATATGTTCTCTTCTTGTAATTTGTGGCTCAAAGAGGGGAGAAGACCTAGGAGTTGATGCTTCATTGACTTAGTCATGAATCATTTAAGCCAAGCCACTACTGTTAATTGATTTACTACATTGATGGTACAAGTACTAGCAAAGCTAGCAAGTGGGTAGAAATTTCGTGATTTGGAAAGTCATAAATAAATTCTCGTACTCCTAGTTTGTACGTTGATTAATAATTAGTTCAAGTTCCCGTCAAAATTAAAGTAATTAATTAGTTCAAATTAATCCTGTTGATGAGTAATTAATTAATTATTCTAACCAAAAAATATAATGTTACCAAGTTTTGTGTAGATTATAATGATAGTACTTTCTTGGCTGTTCCGTTATTAATGTTTCTATGCAATGTATTGTTAGTTTGGGACAGAGTCCAAGTAATCAGCCACCAAATTTTAGCTAATCCATATGTTCTAAAGCATTGGTTATTGGACTACTTAGTAAAATATCAAGTACTTTTATAAACCTAATCACACTTGACACTTAAGCACTGTTCTTTTGAGCTGCTCTACTCTGTTCTACTATGCTGAAATCTGCTCTGTTCTTCTCTGCTGAAATCTGCTCTACCTGCCCAGAACCTCAAAAGAACAAAGCCTTAGTACTTGAAGCTCTTGTTACTGGTCTCTCAAAGGTTACCATTTTCCTCTCTGATTTGGATATATATTGTCTTAGCCCTCTTAGGTGATATTATGTAGTTGTATAAGTTTTTCAAGTTTTTTAGTTGGTCTCACGAATGAGAGAGAGCAATTATGTAGCCCATCATCGTATTAGGCTAGTTCCTTTTGGTGCTGAACAGGTATGGCAAAACCATGCTGCTACTCTCATAGGGAGGTTTTCCCGTTATTCCGTACGTAATTGTGGACATTTTGTCGATGAAATAAGGAACTATATCTAGTTTTGTTTCTACAAAAAAAAATTATTGTGCTATAATTATACAAAAATAATTTATAAAATAGAAATTTTCAATATAAAATATGCTAATAAGCATTGAATGCATTTCCTAAAAATGTTCAAAATTAAGAATTTATAACAAAAACGCACGTAGATCAGTGTAATTGATGCTTATATTTTCTAAAAACATGCTTAGCTCAATGCATAAATACTAAAGTAGTAAAGAATTTGAGCAAATTAACATTAATTACACAGATCTACGCGTGTTTTTGTCATAATAAATTGCTAAATTTATACTTCCTTCGTCTCACAGTCCAAAGCCTATTTGAATTTTTTCACGGAAATTAAGAAAATTGTAAATTCCTTAAAACTAATGATTAGAAGTACATATGTGCAAGTGGGGTTAGAGAGAGAAAGAAAAAGTGGTTGGGAAATAATGGAAGAGTTAGAGAGATAAAGTGTTGAAAACTGATGTCAAAAGTACAAAAAGAAAAAGAAAAAATATAGCAACTCGTCAAAAAGATGGTAATAATGTCAAAAAGTGACCTTTAAATCGAAACAGGCATTTTTTTTTTTTTGGTGGTGAAAGAGAGGGGCAAAGCCCCAAGAAAATAAGCACACAAAAAAAAACTAAAGAAACAAATCAAAAAGCAAAATAACAAAAGCAAAAGAAAAAAAAAAACAGAACACTAAGCAAAGCAAACGAAGACTTCATACGCCCAGTAGCTTAGTCTTCATTCCCTGCCTTATTCGGAACCAAATGCGGCCAAACCACTTCTCCTAAATCCTCCAATAAAATAGCACGAAGATTCTTAAGGACCGCCTTTAAAAGAACCCATTTACAATCCAACGTCACTCCGTGATTAGCTAGCCAGTCCGCAGCCCGGTCCGCCTTTCTATAGCAATGACTAATTGTAATCTCCCAACTCCTTTATGAGATGAGAGCTTTGTATTTTTTAAGAATATGGATATAAGGTGAGTTAGAGGGGATATCCTCTACTAACGTTCGAACTACGACCTCCGAGTCAATAGAAATCTAAATTTTTATATGACCCCATCCCACTGCACGCTACTTGCAACCCCCCTTTGCACAGTTAAGAGTTCAGCTCTTGTACAGGTACACACACCACAATTCATCGCAAACATCTCGTAAATTTCACCTCCACTCCCTCTAATTAGACCACTAGCTCCAGTTGACCCTGGGTTACCCTTAGCCGCCCCATCAGTATTTAACTTAACCCAACCCACTCTAGGTTTTTTCCACCTCACCAACACTTCCTTTCGAGCCCTTTGCTTGCTACCATGAACTTCATCATCATACTCAATGGCTTTCTTGACTTCACCATGAACATGCATTGTATTTTAATTTATCCAAAAAGAAAAACAAGCTTTGTATTATGAGACGGAGAAAGTATTATTTTAGGAAGTGTATTTAATACATATATCGTTACCCTTAAAAAAAAAAAAAGGTTGTTTTCGGGGTTTTCTGTGTCCCTCGGGAGAGTTACAATTCCAAGACTGGATTCCGGACACCTGTACCTGCAAAACAATGGAGACTCCGGTTGGGTGGAGTTCCGCCTCTGACGATCAAGTTAGAACGTGTTCGGATGATGTAAAAAGTATGGAAAGTAAAGTATCTTCTCGGATTCCAGTATCAGGAGTATTCTCTCATTGGAGAATTAAATATCTGCAATTAATGACTGCTCTGTTTTCAATGAATGTTTGTGAATATCCTCTCCTGGTGGGAATATCTCCCTATTTATAATGTCTTGGAGTTTGTGCCGCTTTTCTAGGTTACGTAAACCTAGGAATTGTGGGCTATCTCGGGAATTGGGCCTTAAAGACCGTCTCTTTTCCAATCATTGGGGATGCCACGTGTCAGCAGAGGAGAGGTTCGTTTTGAACCTCTCTAAGGGTGACACGTGTCACTATCTTATTGGGCCACGTGGCCTTGGGTATTTTTACCCAAAACGGCGGTCATAATTAGGGGTGAGCAAAGATCCAGGGTACCCGGAACCGGTTAGGACCCGCCGGGTCCGGACCCAGAACTGGTCTCACTGGTTCCGGGACCGGGTCCAAAATTTCGGACCCGGTTGTAACCGGTTCCGGTTCCAAATCCTAAAATTTTGGACCCGGTACCCACTGGGTACCCGGTTATATATGATATAGTATGTGGATTGTTTGTGTTTTTAAGAAACTAAAGAGTTATGTACAACCTATTTTAATTTCTAAGCCCAATTGCTTATAAAACTCTCAACCCACTATCAAACAAAACCCTAAAACTTCTAGAATTTTCTCTCCGCTTTACTATACCGGTTACCTTAAAAAAACAAAAATATATTGAACGTAACTAATAAGTAAAATAATAAAAAAAAAATTAATATTTAATATAATTAAAATAGCTTAATGTATATAAAAATATAAATATTAAACGCTACAAGTAAAAATACACCAAAAAAAATATTATGATTTGTATTATATTTCAACACTTATATATATAAGTGGGTATCCAGAATCGGAACTGGTACCCGGTGGAACCAATTTCAATTCCTAAATTTTAGGACCCGATTGTACCGGTTCCAATTCCGGTTCCAAATTTTAGGACCCGGTTCCAACCAATTCCGGGTCCGGATCCTAAAATTTTGACCGGGTACCCGGTTTGCTCACCCCTAGTCATAATGGTGTCATATGCTCATATTTTCTTGAATTGAAAATATTAGGATTTTTGTTTGTGGTTATACACAAGAAGAAAAAAAAGAGAATACTTATGTGGGTATTTGTTGGAATCATCTCGATGAATACATCATTAATTTTCAATTGTTATAATTTATACCTATAGATAATTAAAAGTATTATTGATCAAAGATTTGTACCAGTATATGTATTTAGTATAAATGGATCACTTACTAAAAATGGAGGGAGTATTACGAAAACCTTAGAGTTATCCTTTTTGTTAAGTCAATACACTGAAACAACTAATATTTAACAAATGTATATCTGATTTTAAATATTTATTTGTATTATCTACTCCATACAAGGTATTTTTAAGTGAAAAATATTTAGTTGCAGTATAATTCATTCAATACTAAATTTTTAAAAAAGTCAAAACAAAATTTTGCACTCCTAATATTCCTTGATTTAAATAGTAGAGCAGAAAAACAAATAAATAAATAAATAAATAAAATAAATTAATAAAATAGTAGAGCAGTATTTCTTCTATTTTTTAGATGTATCTTTTTTTTTAAATAATAAATTTTAAACTAGATGCATCACTTTTTTTTAGTAAATAAATTTCTTTTATCTCTTTTATATCATTTGTGTCTTTATTTTTCCTTTTTTTTCTCTCTATCTATCTCGTCTATAGAAAATGCTTAAAAACCTCTGTTTTTTTCAAATGATACATTTAAAAAACGGAGAAAATATTAGAAACCGAAATACTACCTTCGTAGTTAATTAATTGTTCCATTTCTTCATGCACGAAGTTTTTGAAGAAATAATATAAAGTAATAAAATATGAAGGGAGTGGAGTTAGTAGAAGAATAAAGTATATGACAGTTAAGAGGGGAGAAAATCTAAAAATATTAAAGTATAATAAAGAAATTAGTAAAATATTATAAAAGATTAAAAAAAAATTATGCAAATAAGAAAATACAGTCGTAAAAGAAAAGTAAAACATGTAATAAAATATGGAGGGAGTAAAAAGTAAGGACAAGTGGGTATATAAAATGGGTTAAGGTCACGTGATATTGATCCTAAGCTCGTACCCCGGAGAAGCTCTGAAAATTTCACCACCCAAAAATAGTGAAATGAAAAATATTTAGGCTGTTATGTGAAAGTACTCAGCTTATAGTTGAAGCCATTGAATTACATAGTCTCATAGGACCCACGCATGCGACGTGCCAGTCTCTCCTTCCATCATCGGATGCGGCGCCTCGCAAAATATCTCGGAGCTTCACCGGAAAGAAAGACACTTTGCTCTCTCATTAATAAAAAAAGTAAGAGAGGCAAAGCAGCATAGAGAGCACACTAATCTCACCCAACCCCACTCCCCTCTTCTGTAACCCATTATCCTGTCACTACTACCACTTCAATTTATCAACTATGGAGTACTAACACACACACGTACCCATCACTATTTTACTCCCTCTGTTTTCGAAAGATGTACGAGTACTTGTTTAATCCTCATCAACGATTTTAAGGTTAAATCGTAAATTCTCATTAATGTGGTATATAAAAAGTACTGTGTATGTAAAAAAAAAAATATACAGAGTCGTATGTACAATTTTATTCAAATCGTTTCAATATGTAATATTGTCAATTGCAAAAGCACGTTGAAAAGTGTAAAAAAAAAACCAATAAATATAAAAAAAAAGTAAAAAAAAAATTATGCATCAATTTTACTTTACACTATTCACAAATACTATTTCAAATTCCTGACGATGTTGTATAAAGTACTCGTATTATGTATATACTTGTTTATCAATTCAAATTCCCAATGTATAATTTTATGATACTCGTATGATTTTACAGCACTCTATATTATTTATACTCGTTTATATTGATCAACATTTTGTGTTAAATAAAAACAAAAAAAAAAAAAAAAATTTAAGATCCTATAAAAAAGCACTACTATTCAGTAAAATGAACTTGTTCGTCAAATTTACAAGCGATACAACAGTATTCCGTTATTTTCTCTCTCCTACCCACATACCCTCCTCTTATCTCCTTTTTCTTCTTCATCCTCAACACTATACTTAACTGTATATCTCTTCATTTCATTTCAGTGACTCGTGCTATCAAAGTAGTTGGAAACCAAATATTCTTCTTCTCTTTTCCCTTTTTATTTTCTATCCTTTCTCAGTAAAAAGAAAAAAAAAACTCAGCTTTTTCTCTCTCCTCCCTCTAAAAAACACCTTTCTCATTTTTAGAGAGAGAAAACAGAGATTTTGTGCTCCGTGCTTATTGTTTACTTACCCAAAGATTTTCTACATTTGAATTGCTTAGCTTCACATAGAAGCGGTTGTTTACTTTCCAGTTTCCACTACTTTATATCATCTTCTTCTTATTTCTTTATTCCTCCATTTCTCAACGATTCTCTTCTTCTCTCCTCGCTTTTATCTCTATATCACGCCCGCTTTGCACGCCCTCTTCTTTCTATTAAATGTAAAAAGGAAAACCAACGCAATAAATCAATCTAAGTTCGTGAAAAAATAGAATATCATGGAGTCGTCTCCGAAGATACTCCAGCCTGTTAAGTTTACTGAGCATAAGAATCAAACAACTCTCCACAAAAAACCCCGAAATAAATCGTCTGAGAAATTTCATCATCATCACTCTGTTTTTCCTAAAATAGTAAGAATCTCTGTTACCGACGGAGATGCGACTGATTCTTCTAGTGACGAGGAGTACTCCGACGACTCTCGACGACGTCGCGTAAAGAGGTTTGTTAACGAGGTTAACATCGAGCCTTGTTCTTCTTCTTTTTCTTCAGATTTTTTAAGGGAGAGTGAGGAGGCTGCTGTTGCGGTGCGAACAAACGGTGTCGTTTCGAGGAGGCCGAAGAAGAGAGGGAAAAGTTCCTCTTCTGTGAAACACACTAATACTTTAAATGTGAATGTGAATGGAGGTAAGAAGTTCAGAGGAGTGAGACAGAGACCGTGGGGAAAATGGGCGGCGGAGATTCGAGATCCTCTCCGCCGTGTACGGTTGTGGTTAGGCACTTACGACACCGCCGAGGAAGCTGCTATGGTCTACGACAACGCTGCTATTCAGCTCCGTGGACCCCACGCGCTCACTAACTTCTCCACCCCTAATTCCGACAAGGAAACTCAGAAACAACCTCAACAAAAACAACAACAGCAAAAGAAGCTTTCACTCTCCACCACGTCATCCTCCATTGACGACGACGACGACGGGTCCCACCACCGCCCATCCGTTTATTCTCCGACTTCAGTTCTACGCTTTCAACCCGAACCCGTTAGCCCGAAGGAGGAGGAGGTAGTAGTGGTAGTCAAAGAGGAGGAACAACAAAATGTTGAGTTATTGGGGAACCCGTGTTCGTCACCTTACGTGTCGTGCGTTGATTCGTTGTTTCCAAGTGGGTTCTTTGATTTTGAGAATACGGTTCCGAGTGTACCCGACTTGTTTGAGCAAACGGCTTTGGGTTGCGACGGCGGACAGGTGTTCGGTGAGGATTGTAAGTATGGGATGTTTCTGGACTGTGCCGATGATCGTCACGATTATTTCGGGTTATCGGGTTGGTCTACTAATGATTATTTTCCAGATATTGGAGATATATTTGGGTCCGACCCACTTGTTGCTCTTTAAGTTTTTTTTTTCGCCTTAATTAGTTTTTTTGCCTAATAATTTGGCAAAAAGAAGGTTTTGTAAACAGTAATGAGTGAGGAAAAAAAAAACGGATTTTTCACCAAATACCACTGAGTTCTTTCGTAATTCACAATATACCACACAAAATTTTCTAATACACCAAATATCACTGAGTTTTAGGGAAATGTCACAACATACCATTAATGACTAACGGACGTTAACACTGTTAGTCATTAAGGCTAATAATTCCACGTGGCAGCTTGTGATTGGTTCCTTTCTAAATTATTTAATTAATTATAAAAAAAAACCAAAAAAATAACAAAAATTAACAAAAAAAAAACAAAAACAAAAAATAATTAGAAAAAAAAAAAAAAAACCTGCTGCCACCACCAAATACCAATCTCTCAACTTTCTTCCATCTCCATTTCTTGATTGTCCATTGCAGAATATCAAGCTCCAATTCCCAGAAAACCATCAAACTACAATGGGGCTATTTTCAATGGCATTCACCGGCGGCAGTTTCATCCTTCTCGGAGCTTGGGAATCTCTCTCCTCTTCCTCCCAACCATTGCAACAACCACCGTCGATTCTCCACAATTACCCTTAACTCCGCCGCATCTCTCTCTCTCCTCTTCATCATCAACTCTCTTCTCTACTTTCTCATCTCCATTTGAAGGATTCTGATGGAATTGAGAATCGTTATTATGATTTAATGCTTGTTCCGATTGCAATTTGTGTGTTTTCTACTATGATTGAATTGGTTTCCCCAAATTCTGGAATCCCTAAATTAGGTCATGGGTTAGGGTTAATCTTGAAGGGGACTTGGTTTGTGCAAATGGGGTTTTCGTTTTTTTCGGATTTGATTGCGAATTGGTTTCCCCAAAATCTGGAATCCCTAAATGGGGTTTTCGTTTTTTTCGAACTAGGTTTGTGCAAATGGAGTGTATTCGTGTTTTGAAAGAAGGTTTGTTGCTGAGGGTAATTACTCGAGTTACCGGCTTTAATGGATTCTTCCGCCATGGATTTAGACGACGAACTTGAAGATCATCACCAGCAGCAACAAGACGACATCTCCATTCATCAAATTCATCTTACGCAAGCTCCATGGGTGGGGTTTCAGTCGGGTTTTGGGTTTAAATGGGTGGGTGGGTCGCGACGGGAAAGAGGAGGGGAAGGGAATGGTCGCCGGCCGGCCGGGCAATGAACCAGGCGGCCAGCCGGGGGTAGAGGTCGGGGCTAGGCTGGTGGCAACAGTGGTTGAGTTGGAGGTGTTATTTTTTTTTTAATTTTTTTTTAAGTTAGTTAATTAAATAAATAACATTAATAATCACCAATTACAAGCTGCCACGTGGCATAATTAACGTTAATGATTAACACCGTTAACGGAAATGGTATGTTGTGACATTTACCTAAAACTCAGTGGTATTTGGTGTATTAGAAAATTTTGTGTGGTATATGGTGAATTACGAAAGAACTCAGTGGTATTCGGTGAAAAATCCGAAAAAAAAAAACACTTAAAGGATGAGTGAAAATATGAGTTCGAGTTAGCTATTTTAGTATAATTTTTTTATTTATATTTGTTGGTTTAAATTCGTTCATAGTATGTGTTTAGTATTGTACGTAGTCTACTACTCGTAATTAACAACAAGTGTATTTATCGTAATAATGTAGCTCCGTCATATTAATCTGGACTTGATATATTTTAATGCTAGTTCTCTTCTATTTAGTATTTAGAAGGTTTCAATTCTAATTGAATTACTAATTCATTTGCCTAACACGATTTCGATATACTTTGTACATCATAGTACAAAAATTTTGAATTAGTTTTAACCGTCTAATGAAAAAAATGAAAAAAAAAAAAAAAAAAGGGAGACTCAAAGAATGTTTAAAAGTTGGAAACAATGCAATATAATTACAATTATGTCATTGTCTTATGAGTCGTTCATCACCTAAAGATAGTTTAGTGATAGATTGCGTGCACATAAAGAAGTACCATAACAAAGTTGATAGTGATAATTATTGATACATATAAATGCATTTGGGAAAAAAAAAATTGTGGAAAATATTATTGACTTATCAAGAATTGTCAAGTCGTCAACTCATTAAAAGATATTCTTAGTACATTGCTAATGGAAGATGTGGTGAAAATTCTCCTAATAAGATTGATGTTTATGTCTTGGTCTTGAGGTGGAAAGGCCACTTAATATAAGTAAAGCCGCCATAATAATTAGACAAAACAACAATAATTAAAAATCATTCCATACAAATCCATGTCTTATTCCATTCCCTACACTTGGAAAACATGGTTTATAAAAGGTATATTTCATTTGATTGCATTAGGGGACCCGAACTTTCAATAAGTTTCATATTTAAAAGTCAGAATAAAGTTAAATGAAAATCTTTAACTTAAGAATAAGTATCATGCAAGAGAGGATCATATTAAGGATATATAAATACAATTTGAAAAAAAATCTTTAATTATTTCGAAAAAAAAAATCCTTAATTTTAGAAAGTGTTTCACTATAACAAAAAATAGTTATGTATACATTTATCCACGGTATAAAAGTATCTCGTATAATTTTTTGTCGAAGTCCAAGTATCATACATTCATACTTGTATTTTTTTATTTTTTTTGTTGGCCTTTAGAGTGCATAGTTGAGGTTGCACCCTCTAGCAAAAGTCTCAACTTTGCCTTTTATGCTATAGAGCACAAAAGCACTTTATATTTCATCTCTTTGCTTTTTCAATGGAACCAATACAGGCCATCAATCATCAAGTAAAATTTCTATCTTATAAGAATAAATTCCTTTGCTAAATTTAGGTCATCTGCAAAAAAGAACTATTTCACCTCAAATTCTTAATCCCTTGAATTATAAACGTGGGTTTAATACACTGCAAACTAAGGAATTAACAGAATTAATAATATGTTGCCACTTAATGTTTGCATGAAATTGATTCTGATAAGTGATGCTCACAAGTTGCTAATTAGATTTAGCCCCACTGCATCTTCCTTTTTCTTTTTTTAGTTTATTATTAATTCCTTTTTTGGTGATTGATGGGACCGCCCCTTTAAGCAAATCCCTTCCTCCGGTTTTTTACTCCGTAATTACAACATTGAGATTTTCACAATTGTTATTGCAATTAAAAAAGTTGGTAGTCCTTTCATCTAATAATAATCGAGTGGATAACAAATTTGGATAACATCATTGAAATACATGCGAACTTGCAAAGTGATGGATATTTTTACAATCTTAAATTGATTATGTATAAACTCATTTTCCTTAAATGGACTGTCCACTCTTTATTTGTAAGGATTCAGAAAGGATGATTATAACTAACATATAAAATGATTTGAAGTCTTAAATACAATTATCACCCCAAAACTCTACTTACTAAACTAATTAAAATACGCGATGTTCATGATTTCGACAAATAAATTAACATAGATTGACATGATTAAGGGCAAGGGCGCATGTTAGGATGTTAGCATGATTACTAAATGAGGGTGTAGTTTCTCTTGGAGCTAACTACTAAATCTGGGAGGTGAGAAAAAGCATTCAAATAGAGAGGAAAAAGCCTGGAGATTGGAGGCCAAGAAAATGCTTTAATGCTTTAGCATTACTCAAGACAATGTAGTACAGAAAACTGTTAGAAAGAAGAGCAGAAAATTTTACTAAAATAAAATAAATATTATTAATTATTATTTTTATAGTGGTCAGGTGAGATACTCAGGTATGCGGGGCTGTTTTTATCAGGCTACAAAGAGGTCCCATCTTATGGGCCCACTTAACTCAGTGCTTCCCCCAACTTGTGATTTGCCAAATTTGTTTAGTGAGATTTTATTTGGCCCAAACTTCCTTTTTAGTTACTGGGAATTGGGGCATGGCCTCTTTCTTCTTCTTCTTCTGGTTTTTTTACACCATTTTTCTTACAATATAAATGAGTAGGATATCCTTTTTGAAAAACTGAATTCCTACATTTTTGGTACTACAATTTCCTTTAACTTTTATTTTTTATTCTTTATGTAAACCAATTGGACCTTCATACTTTGTACTTGTATTAGCTGATACACGGATATATCTAATCTGCATAAACGGATAATCTTTACAATAAGTGTAAAATCTATAAGATGAAGATAGTACAATTGAAACTTAACTTATCCTTAAAATAGCATCATGAAGTGAGAATTTTCTATAGGGTTAAAATATTTCATACTTGTATTATATACCTTTTACCAAGTGACAAGTAACGAGTTATCTTGAAAATTATTAAATATTCAATCCGGTTTTATAATGACTCGCACCAAGTGAAACTAAAGCATTTATAAAACCATTTGAAATTCATCTTCACATCGCTAGTCATCATTCCTTTTTTTCTTCAATGTCAAACAACACACTCATGAAACACCAATAAACGTGCAAATAGGAGATTGAATAGTTAAAAGTAGATTAGTTAGTTTTTAAAGTTATCAAAGCTCATTAAAGTCCGCCAAGCTTTGTTAGAGATCTTTCGCAAGGAAAAGAAAAGGAGATACTCTTACACAAAAGCGATCATTGAATAAACTAATTTTTCAGTCAAAATCCGAAAAACATAAGTTACTTAGTCAAATCATAGTATCATACCCAACAAAATCAAATAATTAAACAAAATCCAATGTGGCCATCACAAAGATAATCTAGTTGTTTCGAAAATCCCACAAAATCCTATCCTATAGGATGACAACAATTGAAGTATCTTCTTAAAAAGGAAAGGAAAGGAAAGGAAAGGAAAGGAAAGATATTTTACAAAAGCATATTGCATACAATTTTATTGAAAAGTCGCTATCAATTTTAGCTGTTTAAGGGAAGCAAGTCACGGATATATATGTACACATTTTGATATGAAATGGTCACACTAGAATCTGGTTCACTTATCCCAAGTTTTGTTAAAGATTATATGATATACGTAGCATATAAAACCACCACAAAATTGAGCAAATTTTAAACAAGTTGGGAGAATTTACATGTTAAAAAACCACCAAAAATCATCAAATTGGGTGCACAAAATACCAAAGAATTTATCTGATAATTCTTAATAACACAATAGCATTGGTACCACATTAATTTTATTTTGACATGTATATGTATTGTAACTTGTATGACTGCAAAAGTGCAAGGCAATCAGCCTTCTCCGCTGACTAACTATGTCCTTTCCTATGTTTTTATTTTTCTA